TGTATGTGTATATATATATATATATGTATGTATGTGTGTATATATATATATATATGTATGTATGTGTATATATATGTATGTATGTATGTATGTGTATATATATATATATATGTATATATATATATATATATACACACACACACACACTGGAAAAAAATCGAAATCTATATAAGTAATTTTTTTCTCAAAATAAGTTGGATAAAGGAGGTAAAAGAGACATTTTGCCAATTAAACAACACAATTTACACTTAAAATAAGAAAACACAATTGCATTGTCTTATTTCAAGTGCATATTATCTAATTATCTTATTTTAAGAGTAAAAAATACTAATTCCAATGGCAAATGATCTCATTTACCTACTGAAATTAAGGTTAAATACACTTAATATAAGAATTTTTTTCTTATTATTTCTAGATTGTTTTTCAAGTGTTAGCTCAGGAATTGCACTGGAAAAACGATCTAGAAATAAGTAAAAATTTCTTAAATTAAGTGTATTTGAGTAGGTAAATTAGATAGTTTGCCAACGGAATGAGTATTTTTACTCTGATAAATAAGATAATTAGATAATATGCACTTGAAATTAAACAATGCAATTGTGTTTTCTTATTCTAAGTGTAAATTGCCTTGTTCCATTGGCAAGATGTCTCTTTTACTCCCTTAATCCAAGGGCAAATGCACTTATTTTAAGAAAAAAATGACTCGTCTAGATTTTGATTTTTTCCAGTGTGATCCTTTCTGCAGAAAACGTCCAGTTTTAGTCAAACCTGCTCAGAAGGATCTGATCCTAAATCCCATCAGTTTAGAAAACTAGCAGCAACACATCCAGGGTGAGAAGCTTTACCTTCAGCTCAGTCTAGTTGGGGTAACTTACCTTCTCCAACCAGGCGTGACAGAACCAGTCCAAGGTACAGGGTCTGCTCCACAGCTGTCGACCACATTTGTTCGACCCGAAATGTTTAAATATTCACAACCAGCCTGGGAACCTGAAGGAGTCAAAGTTCTGCTAAAACTGTTTTTCCTTTTGCTTCTGACAGCCGTGTCGGTTTCCAAGCCTCCAGTTTCTGTCTGTTTGTGGTGTCCTGCTGTAACCCGAAGCCTCTTCAGAATAGATTCACTGAGAGGCAGATGAGGAGGAGGATCTGCCTTCATCCCTGGAGTCTGAGCAGAACAGCAACCTGCTAATTATCTGATCTGAAGGATTCCAGGAAGCTGAAGCAACAGATTTAAACCAGGCAGGTTTCATCCAGAACCTCTGCAGAACTACAAATCAGAACTGGACCTAAAGAACTTTCACTATTATAGTTTGATTAATGGGTTACTGAGAATCTGCATAGATGATGGAGGAGGTGGTATTTTCATTAAAATCAGAAAGATCTTTGTCTCATTTTTAACAGATTTAGAAATTTAGTTAAGAAATTTAGCATTAAAGCTCAAATATTTTCCTAATGGAGTAAAAATGAGCCTATTTCTCTCTCTCTCACTCTGACCAAACTACAAAGGAGATTTTTTTAGACTTTTAACTGAACAGATTTGTGATTTTAAAGGAAGATGCTCAGCTCACAGTGGTTCTGCCCCAGTAAAATCAAAATCTTTCTGATTTTTTCAGGTTTTTCTGTCTCCCTCTTTTTCTGGGTTTTTTCTTTCTGGGTGATTCTGGAAGATTTCCTTCATACAGCATTGAATAAAATAAATCTTCTGTTTTTCAACTTTGCATTTAAGAAATAAACAGAAATACTAAAAGAAAACAAAAGTGTTGTAAAAGCACAAATAGCATATGTTTATTGACAAAAGTCACTGAAAACTTACAGAAGAAATGAATCTGATCACAGACAAAACAGCAGCTATAAACAATGTTTAGTTTTTACAAACACATATTTATTCACAACAAAACCTTCCCCTTTTATTCACAAACTCTTTGATATAATTGGAAATAAAGATTGAACAAACTGCAAGGGGAATTATGGACAACAATCTGCCCTCTGCCACCAGGGGGAGCTATTTCACCTTTTTTTTTTAATCATGAGCAACTTTTTCATTTTTAATCACTGTCTCTGAGGGGATAATGTTCAAATTTTGGACAAAAAAAAATAGATCAAAGAATGAAAACTAGAAGCTGATGTTTAATTTCACCAAAAACTCTTAAGCTTAAAGTTGACATATTAATTAAATAAAACAGAATCAGACTAATTTCAGCCTATCTTTGGGAAACATCTTGCTTTAGCAGGTCCAGACTACCATCACAGACCTGCCTGGATGTTTTGAACCTGTGTGTGAATTGGCTGGTGTTCCTGTTCTGCCTGAAGAGAAAATTTGTTCCATCATGTTTTTTCCCTGAACCAAAGTAGGACCTCAGACATCCGGCTGATCATAAAACCTCGACACAGAAAGACATTTTGCTCTCCTCCTGACAGCTGCTGCTGAGGAGGAGGAGGATGAAGAGGAGGAGGATGAAGAGGAAGTCACTGGATGCCTTTGAATAAACACATGGCAAACACCATGGCAAAGAGCTGAAGGAGGGAGAAAAGTGAACAGCCAATCAGACACAAAGGAGGAAAAACAGTAACAGTAATTGATTTTGGATATTTTATAATTCTGCTGCTTAAGGTGGAAACATGTTGGAGTAGCTCTGCTAGATTCTGATATTCTTTTACTTCAGTTCCTACAATAATGAACAGGTGATCTGATGGAACAGCTGAACAAGAAAAAAGGGCCGTAAGGAGGAAAGACGGGGAATTAATGAAGAGAATACAGAAGCAACTTAAGATCACGATCAGAGAAAGCAGGGAGGTGTAGCGGAAGAGGCTGGAAAACAAGCTGCAGCAGAACAAAATATGAGATGAAGAGGATCAGAGGATTCGAGCAGAAGGATGATCAGACAGACGGTCTGGACAGAGGCAACAAAATGAATCCTTTCTTTAAAACATTCAGTTCAGGAACAAACTCAGCAGCGTTTTTGCATGGGCGCACAGAAAAGCATGACACAAAAAAATGGGCAGGGAATACAAATATATTAAAATAGCTGCATGAAGTGAAATTTCTTCAGTTAAAGTTTAATTGAAATTATATGTCTTCTAACTGAAAATATTTATTTTTGGCTCAAAAATGTTCGGATTATTGTTAACATCAAAATAAAAATCCCATAGCATAGCAGAAAAAAAGCAACTCAAGAAATTGTAGCTATATAAATATAAAAAGAAAATACAATAAAGCTATTATTTGGAATATTATGTGAATATAGGTTCATCATTTAGGAATTGTATATATTTTCTTTAACTTAATTTAAGTTAGAATTATAGTTTTATTATAAAATCAGAATTAGAACTCAAGAAAAACTGATAAATTCAGCTGTAAAAGTTTAATTTGTTTTGAAAAAAACAACAGATGAAAACTGGGATCCTATCTCAATATCACTGAAGCTATCACCTTATTGTTTTTTTTAAATAATTAGTAAAACAGAATAAAAAAATAAATAAAAAAGTTTAATAGATCCAAAGGAACCATGTCTGCTCCAGCCCATAGCATCATTACAATATCTCTTAGTATTATGTCTTTAGTACAGGGGCACTGGCCCCCGCTGGCCCCTGTCTAGAACCGCCCATGCTCCTGCTTCTATCAGTTTATTATCAGCCAGATCAGAAGCTGGTGCTGCTTCCTCCGCCTTCCACCTGTCTGTCTCTAGACGTCAAGTAAAGAGGCAAGTGGAGAGACTGAATGGTAACGAGTCACCGGGTCCCGATGGTGTCAGCCCCAGATTCCTGAAGGCCTGTGCAGAGCAGCTCTGGGGGATTCTACTGCATCTCTTTCACCTTAGTCTGACCCTGGAGACAGTTCCAGTGATGTAGAAGACTTCCTGCTTCGTTCCAGGACCAAAGAAGGTCCAGGACCACATCATGAAGGTCCTAGAGACACTTCTGTTGGTTCACCTCAGCAAGCCCCTGCAGTTTGCTTATCACCATGGAGATGGAGTTGATGATGCCATCATACACCTGCTTCAACAAACCCACTGTCATTTAGACAAGGCGGGCAGCACTGTGAGGATCATGGTTTTGATTTCTCCAGAACATTTAACACCATTCAGCCTGACTGACTTTGGGAGAAACTCCAGAAGACTCAGCTGGAGGCATCAACAATCACCTGGATCAAAGACTTCCTGACAAACAGACTGAAGAGTCAGATGTCTGATCAATAGACAGCAGCACAGGAGCACCACAGGGGGCGGTACTCTCTCCATTCCTTTTTCTATGTTCGCCTCTGACTTCCAGGACCAGACAGAGTCCTGTCATCTGCAGAAATACTGGGATGACTCTGCAGCCATTGGGTGCATCAAAGATGGATCAGAAGCTGAGAACAGAGAGATGGTGAACCGCTTTGTGGCATGGTGTGGAAATAATAAGATGATGGACAACAGTGAGCATCCTGTTTATCAAACTGTTAGAAAACAACCGAGAGTCTTCAGTCAGAGGCTTCAAGACAGACCTCTACAGGAGATCTATTGTTCTTACACGTACAACACCTTGTTGATAAAACTATAAGAACAAGTTTCCTTTCGCAATCAACAAACTATTTTTTAATTTAATTTAAATTTATTTTATTTCCAATTGACCTGCTATAAAAGAAAGCAATAGAAAACGTGTTCATTTAACATCTGGAGACTTTGTCCCCAGAGACACGCTGCTCTGAGCAGAAAACACATCGCCTCATTTTTAGAAGAACAGATTGGAGCTAAAATGACCATAAAGAGGACTTAGTAATAACAGAAAAATTTGAAAATGCAAAATGACAAGATGGATGGGAGGAGGCATGGAGAGAAAAACGGCTTATTAACAAGGAGGGTCTGAGGTCTGGAGGTGGAGGCAATGACATCAATCACAGGATGGTGTGAAACAACTGGAGGCAAGCAGAGAGACTGAGGGAGGATGACTAATTAACAGAAAGTTGATAAATATATTTATATTTTTTTTATCTGATTCTGTCCATATCTTAGTCACTCACAGAAAGAAAAAAAATTATTTTATGTGGTGTAAAAAAGTGAAAAAACAGGACCTACTTCGACCGTCAGCACCACGATGACCAGAGCTCCTGCAGAGTAGATGTACGTCTCAAAGTATTCAACCATCGCTGAGTAGCAGCCCTGCAGGTCAAACAGACAGGATACCAAAGAGTTTCTCTCTTTTTATTTTATCCTCACCTCTTCTTTAACCTTTATTCAAACCTTGTTGTGGCGAAACGCCACGCTGCCGCTGACGCACTGCTCCACGCCAGCCTCTCCGAGGTACCCGGTCACCTGGCAGCAGGCCTCAGGAACCATTTTGTTGGGATTAAGGAGCCTGAAGAGGCTCTCTTCGAAGTCTTCAGGGCCGCTGATACCACAGCAGTCGAACTGTAAGCAAGGATACATGCTGCTAAACTCTGATGTTCAAGCGAGTTGGCTTCTGCTGGACCAATGGCTCACCGTTGTCATGACGACGTTCCATGTTGATGTAAAGACGTCGGTGTTGTTACGGCCTTGATAATGACGTTTCAGCTCCCTGCTGAAGTATTCTCTGGTTAACTGGGACGAGACACAAACAAAATGCTTAAAAATCTTTCCTTATTTCTACAACCTGTTTTATTTGAACAACAACCTACAAAATGTGCAAAACTACCTCAAAAAATCTTAGGGAACCAACAACAACACAATATTAAACCAAGTTCAAAACCAGCCTCCAATGAACACAGAACTAGAAATAAACGTATACAGAATCAGCATGAATCCACATTTAAATAAAGTCCACAACCATCCAGGACCAGTTTATATCCGTCTGAAAGTAAGACTTGAACAAGCTCACATCCAGCCTAAAACATAAAATAAAATATCAGTTCAAACTATAATCCCGGTTAGCTCATAAAAGCAGCCTTGAACGAAGTCAAATGCATCGCTGGAAAAATGATCTAGAAATAAGTAAAAATTACCTAAATTAAGTGTATTTACCCTTAATTTGAACAGGTAAATAAGATGATTAGCCAATGGAATGAGTATTTTTACTCTTAAAGTAAGATATTTAGATAAAATGTACTTGAAATAAGACAATTCAATTGCGTTTTCTTATTTTAAATGTAAATTTTCATTGTTCCATTTGCAAAATGTCTCTTTAAAAATCTCAATTCAAGAACAAATTCACTTATTTTAAGAAAAAAATGACTTCTAGATTTAAATTTTTTCCAGTGATTAAACATCACAAACTATACTGGTCTGAAATATGCAAACCAGTAGGAATCAATCAGTGAAAATCCAGATTAAAAAGCAGAACTGTACATAAAATAGACAACAACTGAAACCAATCAAATTTTATTTGGACTTAAACAAAACGAACTTATGCATTTGTGCATTTGTTCTTTAATTGAGGAGGTGAGACACTTTGCCAATGGAACAAGACAATTTACATTTAAAATAAGAAAAAACAATTGCTTTGTCTTATTTCAAGCGTATATTATCTAATTATTTTTTTTAGGAGTAAAAATACTAATTCCATTGGCAGATTATCTTATTCATGTCCTCAAATTAAGGGTAAATACACTTAATTTAAGACATTTTTTACTTATTTCTAGATGATTTTTGCAGTGCAGAAAAAAAAAACGAGATAAAAATCTTAACAGCTAAAACATGGGTAAAAAAATAAAATACACCCAATCAATCAATAGAAATAGGGTAAAGATAAAAGGAATAAAAGATGCAAAAATTAAATAAAACAGATAGAATTAACTCCAAAGTAGTCTAAAACCAAGTATCAACTGAGCTCTGAAAATAGTCTGGAAGAAAACCGTCTGAATCCAAAATAAGATCTATAACCAAGTTAGAAACCATTCAAACATCCACATCAAAATAAGTCAGAAACTAAACTCAAAAAGGCTGCTGAAGATTCTCAGTCATCCAGGTCAAAGTCATTCCACAAAAAGAAAATTAAAAACATTCAACTGGACTTTGTTTCCAAGTTTGAAAGGAAAAAAAGTCCAGTGGATTGTTTTTTAATTTTTATTTTTTATTTTTTGAATAAACCCAAAAATCTTCAAGAACCAACAATGATCTGAAAGAATTCCAAATCAATCCACGGAGAACCAGGTATGAACCCGTCAGAATCACGTCTAAAATGAAGTCCATCAAATTCTAAAACTAATCTGAACTCAACAACAAATCTGATTCAGAAGTAATTTTGAAAGCAGCAAAAAAATAATTCCTTGATTTAAATAAAATACTGTCTAAAAATACAGGGTTACTTTAGAAAATACTTAAACATTCTCAGCCTGACTGCATTTAATCATTTCTTCAAAGCAGGACGGGGCGGCGGCACCGCAGCTTCCTACCTTTATGCACTGGAAAAACGATCTAGAAATAAGTAAGAATTTCTTAAATTAAGTGTATTTACCCTAAATTTGAGTAGC